AAGATATGTGGACTTCCCCTTCCAGAATTCCTCATGCTGGAGAATACTGGGAGTTGAAATCCACACATCTTAAAGTTGTTAAGGTTAAGAAACACTGTTATGGGCTACTATCATCCAGCCAGAAAATGTTCTGTAACCATTTTATAAACATATAAAAATAACAAAATGGAATAATAAAACCATACTGTGCAATAACTTCATTGCTGGCTCTGCTTTTGGGACAGACACACTGGAACTATGAGTGACTGAGCAGTTCAAGAGCATGACCCCAATAAGAAGCCCCAGTTTTAGGTTTAGGAACACAGTATTTGATCTGGAAGTGGTAGAAAGAGGCAGGAGAGCAAAGGAAAGTAGGATGGCACATGAGCATGAAAACTTGACATGGTGGGAACAAATATTTTAACTGTTCTCATGGTCTGTGTCAGATGAATAACCCTAGAATTAAACATCCATAAAAGTCTGGATGTACAGTAATCTTTATCATCAATCATACTTTGCAAAATGGGGCCCTTAGGCTGAAAAAGGTTGTTATTCTTCTGATTAGCCCAATGAAAATTAGTATTTCAGTAGCCATGAAATACTAATTTCTGGAGAGCAAAACCAGATACAGGAAAATAACTCTAGAAGTGCCCGAGAAGAGGACTCAGGTGACTCATTAGAATCGGGAATGTGAACATTTCATACTGCATTCTGTTGAAGAGTTTTCTTCTTTGTCTCTAGAGATTTCTCCCACCCCACCCCCATTTATTTGGCAACTGCTAATACTTCCCACATTTGCAGCCTACTATCATGATTTCCATTGCCAAACACTGCGTTCATATTGAAACAATTTGGAACAGGAGCTGATAAATTATTAGGGCGCCTCTCCGAATACGAGTCTCTGTGGATAATGATGTTTGATGTAGATCGATATTATGATAGCTCCATCCATCTTAGATCTACATTTCCTGAAAATTTCAGTGAAATTTGCTGCTACGAAGTGCATTTCTCTGGAGGGCGATAGCCTCACTTATTATGATTGGATGTGTGCTTATTATCTTCATTTATAGGAGAAAATGTGATTCGTCATTTTAATCCTTCAGCAAAAAATTTTTTAGCTTGGGCAGTGATGATTAGCCATGTGATATATCTCTTGTGATAGGTTTATTATAAAATGAAAGCAATATGATTATGGGCCATCAAGTTGTTGATCTTTAGTGACCACACATTTATATTTTCTACATGACAAACTGATCCTAACTGGATCTGGTCCTTCAGAGCTTCCAACAATGTACAGGTAGTCCTCAACTTACAGCAGTTCATTTAGTGACTGTTCAAAGTTACAAAGGCACTGAAAAAAGTGACTTGTGACCGTTTTTCACACAACCATTGCAGCATTCCCCATGATCACATGATCTGTGTTTGGATGCTTGACAATTGCAGGATCCTGGGGTCATGTGATCAGCTTTTTGCAATCTTCTGACAAGCACAATCAACGAGGAAACCAGATTCTTACTTAACAACTGCAATGATTCACTTGACAATTGTGGCAAGAAAGATCGTACAACGGGGCAAAACTTAAAACTTTAACAAATATCCCACTTAGCAACATAAATTTTGGGCTCAGTTGTCATTGTAAGTCGAGGACCACCTGTACCATCATAACTATTACTGAGTCCATCCACCTTATTGTTGGCCATCTTCTCTGTTTCTACTCAACATTTATTTATTTATTTATTTATTTAGTCAAGCAATTACAAGATAACAGGTATAAGTATAAACATAGTTATGAATACATGAAATGGATACATATAAAAAATATATAAAAGAAACAATAGGACAGGGACGGTAGGCAGGTTGGTGTGCTTATGCACATCCCCTACAGACCTCTTAGGAAAGTGAGGTCAATAGTAGACAGTCTAAGGTTAAAATTTTTGGGGTTTGGGGAAGAAACCACAGAGTCAGGTAGAGTATTCCAGACATTGACCACTCTGTTGCTGAAGTCGTATTTCCTGCAATCAAGTTTGGTGCGGTTAACCATGAGCTTATATCTATTGTGTGCTCTTGTATTCTTATGGTTGAAACTGAAGTATTCATTGACAGGTAAGACATTGCAATGTATGATTTTATATACTATGCTTAGATTGGACTGAAGGCGGCGTAGTTCTAGGTTTTCTCGGTCTAGAATTTCAATCATCAAGATTTTCAACCTTTCATAGCCCCCTGTAACTTCTGTCAGATGATGACTCAAAATAATCTAGTGCACAGAAGACTAATTTCATTTCAGACAGTTCTAATCACTGTACTGTTATTAAGCTTTGTAACAGCGTTGAGGGACTCCCAAGTTAAGCCAAAGGATGGCAATGGGGAAGCCAGGTTCACTTAACAACCGTGTTACTAATTTAACAACTGCAGTGATTCACTGTGACAAGGAAAGTCGTAAAATGGGGCAAAACTCACATAATAACTGTCTTGCTTAGCAACAGAAATGTTGGGCTCAATTGTGATCTTAAGCCAAGGCTGATTTGTATAAGGTGATGTCTGTGTGTGGTCTTGTTAACTCACTACCTTAGATGACATGTTGCTTCAGCCAAAAGCAAATCTGGATGTTGCTTTCTTTGCCAGATACAAATAGCATAGGATTGGTTGAATTTCACCTAGTGGCTTAAACCAATTTTGCAAGCCAAAAGGCTGTGTTCATGCAACACATCTATCATGGCTTAGTAAGTGTGAAGCTGGCCACAGTTACTCTTCAAATGGTTGGGGCTGCTCTCTTCAGGATTTTTGATTGAAACACTATCTCCTCAAAGAGGCTACAAGTCAAAGAAAACTCCTGTTTTATAAATTCAACATGGACATCTGAACCAGATTTTAATGGCAGTTTCCTCTCTCCATCAGATACTTTGCCACATGATCATGCCAAGATGCGAAGAAGTTACAAACAGGAGAAAGGTAATTGTGTTTTTCCCAACTTTCATCAACTGGAGTGTTACACATATCTTTTGAATCAAGCAATGTACTTCTGTGGGTCAGATGGGATATACTTTGCAGAAATGGACAAACACCCTGCCAGAAGAATCTGCAAACAAGAGAGGAGAGAAAGGTCAAATGCCCGTCATTTCAAGAAAGTGCCAGCAATAACTCTATGCCATCACTGTGTACATACAGGATCAACAGACTCACAACAAAGATGATATGAATTGGCACATTTGCTGCACTGTATCAGAATTCAATGTTGTAACTGTTCAGTCAGTTTAACTTCTGATATGACTTCACCTGATACCACAATCAACTACAAGCAGGGTTTTAAAATAATGTTTTAATTATCCATTTTATTACTCATCTGGCTAACTGTATTCTGAATGATTTGGTATTTTAATTGTAACCCAGCCAGGGTCACTTAGGAGTCAGGTGGCTTATAATTACATTGACTATGTGTCTTTTATGATAAAGGGTGGCTCGTTATTCAGAAGAGTGTCTTTTAGATTGATTTATTTTTCAAAAACTCACTTCTGTCCTTTATTTTTGTCATTTGATTTTTACCAATAAATGGTGCCACTTAATAATGTATTTAGGCTTTCACATTCATGTGAAAAGCATGGAAACTGAATTGTCTTTTTAAAAACAAATGTACACATGCAGTTTGATTTTAGATATTTTCATTAGAATGTTGTTATGTTTCTTCATCTGGATTTTTCTTTTATAAAACTGTTATAAACCTTTATTTAAAAAATTTGAATGAACCTCTTTCAAATTTGCCCCTTTCAAGTTTATCTTTTATTTTTACCCAAGAAAATATGGTCGTCATATGTATAAATTAAATTAACAGGGAGTGTCCCATCCCAATACACATGATTCCTTTTGGAATCCATTTGATAAGGTTTTGCCAGTAGGTGCTAGAAAAATGCTTTTTGTGAATGACCTTCAATTTTGGTCACTGTAGTAAGATTCTCCTCCCATGAATGCATTACTAGGCTTTTAATTTGTATACAAATGGTATTCTGAGTATCCTCTCTTCCTTCCACACACGCACACCCCAAGGCCTTTTAAAGCCATGCCTACTATTGTTTCCATGGCAATTACACTATTTGCAATGTTGAGGTACAAAGGCAATGGCAATGCAAGCTTTGCAAGGATGTTTGCCTTGTGCGTATTCAGACTCTCAGGGAATTTAGGGAAAAGGTGGAAATGAAACGTTTTGAAGGTTCCCTGTGTGACACACATCTTTGCACCTGGCAAAAGACACTCCTCTTGTAAAAGATTGAAGAATCGTCCCAAAGAAAGCTACACCTCCTCTCTCTCTCTCTCTCTTTTTTTAAAGTCGGGTGAAATCGATGACAGAACACACATTACCAGTGGTGTCCCCACAGATGAGCAACAGAACGCGTGAACAAAACGGGCCGAGATTCGTTCGTTCGTTCATTCATTCATTCATTCAATCAATCATTCATTCATTCATTTATTCATGTGAATTGGGGAGCGAGAGGAGAACCTAAACGGCCCGAGGGTGCGATCCCACCCATTTCATAGCAATGGAAAAGGGAAAAATCATTTGTGGGTTTCGGAAGGAGAGCCCCTTCAGCCCCTCCACCGGAAGCCAACCCAAATATACCGTAAAAAAATAAAACCCGGCTTTTACGAGGCGCCGGTGAAATCCTTGGCCAGGCGATTGTCCCATAAACCCGCCCGCTCTCTCTTGACCATCGCCAGCTATTTCTATTGTCTAGGGCTGCTGGGCACTGAGAACCGGGGCTTGCGTACAGCTCGCCGCCCTTGTGCGTACACGCGGGGCCGGGCCTTCCCAAAGAGGGGCGGGGGCGGAGGTGGCGCTTTGTCGCACTTGGGGGCCGACTTTAAAAGCGCCGCGCGCTCCGCCGGCAGCTCCTCGCTGCAAGAGCTTCGCTTGGATGCTGCTGCACCGGTTCCTCGCCTCCGCGCTCTGACGGCATCTGGAGCAAAGGCTTCTGCCGCCGCCGCCGCCGCCGATCCCGTGTTTCTCTTCCTGGGGCTGGAGGGCTCGCCTTTCCCATGCGGTTCTCGTCGACCATGTCCCAAAATTATCTGTTAGCGCCCATCCAAGAATGCCCGTCCGATTTCCTGGTCAAGGAGGTGAAATTGGCGGTGCTCGGAACTGGGGGCGTGGGGAAGAGCGGTAAGTGCCGAGGAAGCCAGGTGCGGCTCGGTTCGGCTGCTTGGGGATCTGGGGATCTGGGGTGGGGGCAAGCGAAGGGGAAGGATCCCCGCGCCCGGGGGATTGAGATCGGGGCGCGCGGACAGAGGAGAGAAGATGAAAAACGACGGTCTGCTCTAGAAAGAATAAAACAAGGTCCCTTTGGGGGAAGCATGGAAGCCGGGAAAAGGTAGAGGAAAAAAAAAAGAAAAAACCCTGAGAGATGAAGTCCTGTCTACTGTTTTCATCCCAATGCCGTCCAGATATTCAGGAATGCAAACGCCCATCAGCCGACGAATGAAAACATAGAACAACAGAGTTGGAAGGGACCTTGGAGGTCGTCTAGTCCAACCCCCTGCTCGGGGAAGTGGCTGGAAGAAATGTTGGGATTTAAAAGAGATCATAGACCGGAATGTTTCTGATTGGGAATTATACAAAAAAAAAAAAAATTATAAGGAAGAGCTATATTTGATTATACGTGTTATCACTGCGGCAAGAATGGTATTTGCTCAGAAATGGAAGGAGAAAGATACACCGAGTGAGGACGAAGTAATAGACAAAATTCTGATATGTGCTGAAATGGATAGGCTACCCTTAGAGATGAAAAATAAGGACAAATCGGAATATTATACAATTTGGAATAGATTTACCATTGATGGGGACAGAAAGGGAGGGCTTAAGATGGGAAAGAGTTGTTGAGAGGGTAAACAAGAGTATGAGATGAAAATAAGACTAAGGATGTTGGAGGATGTAATGTAAGAATGAATAAATATGTGTGTGTGTGTGTATATATATATATATATATATATATATA